GCTTCTAAGTCTCTAGCCTTCAAGGTGACCAAGCAGCCCAGGAGTGAAGGGTTTCCGGAATGCAGGGCTTTCGGTGCTAAGACAGAGTCCCAGGCAACAAGGCTGGGTTGGTCACTCTTGCAGCTGTGATCATTGTGTTCATCACTGTTAATGACTTTTCTTATTGCTTTGACCAAATATCCCTTCCAGGAGCAGCTAAAGGAAGGAAGGAAGGGCTTATTTTGGCTTCCAGTTGAACAGAATCCAGTCCACCATGGTGTAGAAAGTTCTGGCTTCAGGCTGCTGTCTACATACTGGTGCAACAGTAAGCAGAGATGGCATGGGAAATGGGGTGGGTCTATGAACCTAAAGGCACAACTACAGTGACCCACTCTCTCCAGCTAGACCCACTTCCTAAAGTTTCCAAGACCTCTCAAAACAGTGCCACCAGCTGGGGACCAAGTGTTCAAACATATGAGCTCAAGGAGGATGTTTGACACTAAACCATAGCTACTACTAAGTGTCAATGTGCAGACTCTATCTATCTTTAAGGAGGAGCAGAATCACCACACATCACTATGGGAATAGACACACACAGCTTAGTACCCACTCCTCCTCCTCATGTTGGTGAAGGGTCAGTGAGACAGTAGGATTGAAGTAAGTGCCTTGAAGACCCGCCAGGATCCTGTCCAATATTGACGGCTTTAGACCTGTGTCTCCTAGTTCATCACAGGGTTCTCTAGGAAGATACTTCCCTGGCTCCTATTGGAACAGAGCACATTACTTGGCCCCAGTTCCTTTTCCAATTTGCCTATAGATCTGAGAAGAAGATGGAAGTGGACTCCCTTCCTATAGGGCTTTCTCCAGGCATCCTACCCAACCTCACCTATTGATGGGTAATAAAAGGTCAAGGAATGCCTCTCTGTTAGTTATCTTATAGCCTGTTAGTAAGAGCCTTTTTAACTACCTTCAAGTGTAAGTGGTGTGTGTGCCTGTGCTCTTGCTAACCATCTATGAATGAGCAGCTTACCACTACATCATACAGAGATGCACTCAGCCCAAGGTTGTAAGAGATAAAGGAAGATTTTCTTAAAGGGACATTTGCATATCTCTCTCTCTCTCTCTCTCTCTCTCTCTCTCTCTCTCTCTCTCTCTCTCTGCATATACACTGTGTGAGGGTGCTCTTTCCCCCTCCCTCTACATGAGCACTCAAGGAGTCAGAGGAGGATGTTGGATGTCTTCTTCTATCACTCCACCTCGTTCTTTGAGACGAGTTCTCTTACTGAGCCTAGGACTGGCTGTTTTTGGCTAGGTTGGCAGCCAGCAAGGTCCAGCAATACTCCTGTCTCTCCCTCCCACCAGCACTGAGGTCCCAGGAATGCATGGCCAGGCTGGGCTTTCTACGTGAGTGCCTGTGATCTGAACTCAGGTTTTCATGCTTACATAGCAAGTGTTCTTACCATGGAGCCATCTCCCCAGTCTCGAGATTTGGAACTTTCTGCCTAAACTTAGCATTAATGGCATAGTTTACTGAACTGTATTAGTGTAGCTAGGCACAGTGGTATACTGTAATCCCACCACTTGTGAGGCTGAAGCAGGAGGATCACAAGTTCCAGGCCAGCCTGATCTACATAGCAGAATCTTTCCACAAAAACACCAAAGATATAATTTAAAAAAAGAAAAAAAGAAGTATATTAATGTAACAGTCTAATAGCAATGTTCCAAGTAGAAGTGATCAGTGAATAAATGAATTAAAAAGAAAAAGGATCAAAAGTATAAAGAGCAAAGACATCTCCTTTATACCTGACAAGTATATTTTCTTATTAAATAGGATAGCAGATGCCAAAGTAAGGCTCTTCGGAGTCCCTAAACCATTAAAGGTTCTGTGACATCTAAACTACTTTCATAATAATAGTAAAATGTGCTGGGCGTGGTGGCATACGCCTTTAATCCCAGCACTTGGGAGGCAGAGGCAGGCAGATCTCTGTGAGTTCCAGGCTATCCTGTTCTAAATAGTGAGCTCCAGGTCAGCTGGGGCTACAGGGAGACCCTGTCTCAATAAGACAAAAAAAAAAAAAGTAAAATGTTAATTACCTATAAAAAACACTCATGGGTTTCACAAGTGTTCAGTGGACACTTTTAGAAGCCATGGGAGTAACACTGGATCAAGGGAGCTCTTTCTTACATCAGATTTGTCCTCTGCCTTTTGACTGTATAATTAGATGGTGGAGGCTGAGCAAGGCTACCAGCTGTCCAGGGCTGCAGGGGACACAGTGCACTGACCAGTGTAGGCAGGGACTCACTGAGGGCACCAGAGACTATGTGGGCAGTAGAATAGCTCCTCTGCTTTCTTAGCATATGGGAATCAGTCACATCCCACCACCGCTCATTTTATGTCAGTTTTGGTTAAGGGCCACTCTTTCAAGAATTTTGGTGTCAATGAGGGTTTGCACAGATCACTGGAAACACCAGTTTCCCAGCTGGATGGCAAACAACGGTCATATCATACACAATAGGACTGGGCCAACTTGAAGCATGCCTCGAAAGGAACTTGGACATTGGGAACTCAGACATGAGGAGCCCAGCTTTAGAAACATGGAGACTACAGAGGCCACTTTGCTGTGTTCCCAGAATGGCACGAGAGCAAAGCCTCCTCCCTTCCTGTCTTGAGACTGATTTGTATGAAGAAACCACAGCTGTGCGATAAAGCTAGCAATCAGGTCAAGGAAGAGCTGTGTCATGGGACTTTCTGATGGGAACTCTCTCCCCCCATTTTTGTTAACTTCAAGATAAATGAAAGCGGTTCAACCTAGGAATTGAAGGAAGATAAGAAATTTCTTATGCTTCCCTCAAAACCCATCTAGGAATACAGTCTGTCCATATGTTATTGTAGGGCTGTGAAGTGTCCCCAAAGGCTCATGTTTTGAAGACTTGATTCTTAAAAGGTAGATCCAATCATTGAGAGGTGATTGGATTATGAGGGCTCTGACCTAATCAATGGATTCATCTATTAATGATTTTGAAAGTGGCTAGCATTATTAGGAAGTGGGAGAAACTTCAAGGTGATACCCAGTTAGAGGAAATAGCTCACTATGAGGCATGGCCTTGGGGGCTGTTTCTTGTCTTGAACCCTCTTTTGGCCTCTTTCCACCTTCTCTCCCACCTTCCACATCTTCTCTCATGATGTTCCACCTCACCAGGGTCTTAGAAACAATGAACTGAAAACTGGAAGCTGTGAACCAAAATAAATCTTTCCTCCCTTAAGATGACTCTCTGAAATATTTGTCCTGTGACTACTCTAACACATCATATTTGACTGTTTACCTATATTTATTATGTTTTAATTAACTACTCTTTGACTTTTTACACTAGACTTTTAACAGATAAGAAAGTCTTACAGTGAGAAAGTTAAATGTCCACAAAATAATGATCAGTTTCTTCCACTTCTCAGCAGTCATAAACCTCCATTTATGGAAAAATGCAATGCAACATGAAACAAAGCAACCCAAATACCAGCAAAGCCACCTCCCTCAGGCTCACAGAACCCCTGGGAGAGGCAGAGGGAAGCAGGTACACATGGTCCCAAGGACAGCCTCAAGCTTACTTTCCCACTGTAAACAGGAACCCCTAAACTAGTTCTGAGCATGCTGAAATTTCTAGTGCTGTCTTGAGGGGTTTTGAGGCAGGCTCTTGCTGCTTGGCAACAAGCTTGGGGCTCAGCAAACTTCTAAATAACAAAATAAAACGGGATTGGTTCCCCTGTGGGCAATACAATAGCACCCGTTGAACACTTACAGTTTAAAAAAAAGGAAAGGGCATGGGGTCTGCTCCGAGAACAGGCACAAATTCACTGCTGGCGAGTTGAGGGTTTTCTCTATTGCTGCCAAACTAACAATGTCACATTTGCTTCACACCCTATAAAAACACTTACCTTTTAACCACTCTATAGCAGTTAGCTGTTTGGGGAAGCAGAGGCTGGACTTTACTAGGATGACAGAGAAGGGTAGAGGGTGAGAGCAACAGAAATCTACCAAGTCGACTCAAACAAGGGGACTTTTTACATGCAGGTATTTAAAAGGGCCCCAAATAACACATTTGTTAACACATGGCATCTGTGAATAGTGGCTCTCAATTTTTTCCCCTTGCCTGCATTCCCAAGTTGGTTTCATAGAAGGCTTTATTGTAATCCAGGAGCATTGTTTCGCATTAATTTCTATGACAAGGAACCCAAAACACAGGGTGCCCAGAGTAACAAAACAGAGTTGGGGAGACAGTCACGACTTGGCACAAGTCTGACAAGCTGTGAAAAAGCAAACGTTTCAATATCTCAAGTGGTGTGGATTTCCTGGGAACAACCTTTTCTCTTCCACACAGAATCATATTCTTTTCAAGCACATTTAAGACCCAAGTCAAGCTGTGTCTTATTTTTTATTATAATAAACACAGTTTACTGTAACAAAGACATACTAGTGGTGATCAGCTGACAGCCCTGAGCAGCACCATGAGTCGGTGGGTGAGGGCCTGGGGGTGGGGAGTCAACTGATAAAATAAAAGACCAGCCGTCTGGAAAGTTCTCTTAAAAGAACATAAAAAGGCAGTGTTTTCTTATGAGACTAACACAGAATGCCAAACTATCTAGCTGGCCTCTTTTGCTGTTGTCACTTACAGCAATTTGTAACTAAAAATGGCAAATCCTTCAAAATACTGGGCACTCATTTTTGGTTTTATTTTTAGATCTCCATAATAAAATGAAAATATTTTTAAATGAAAACACATCATTTTAAGTGGTAATACTATTTCTTATGTGAGAATCTACTGCAAGTATGTTTACCATATGCTATTCAAACTTTTCTTTAAAATGCCTACTTAAAAGTAGTTTTAATTAAGCATAATATTCTAATTTTGATGACGCTGAAATAAGCTGTTCACAAGTTATGAATAAAGCACCGAAAACATTCAAGATTAAATTAACTTAATTAAACAAAATCAAATTCACTAAGAAAAACTGTAAATCATCTTACCAGATCTTGAATGGCTAGTTTTTCACAATCAAGTTCATATCTCAGTGTGTCTCTGCTGTCCATTAACTGAAAGAGAGAAGAATATTAATTAAATTCTGATTAAGGCTAAGATCAAAACACTTGAAATTCTTCCTCTGCAGAATAAGGTAAAATATATTTTAACCTGAGAGGAAAATGGATCCAAATATGATCAAAGTTAAATTCACATAGATTGTTATGTTTTAATGAAATTATGTACAAATAAGCTAATGTACAGATAGCACCGATGTGCTCTCAACCGTCCTCACCCTACTTCCCATAAACGTGAGGTAAGAGAATCAGTCTTTATCACAAAGAATGGGTGTGCTTTCCTTTTTCTTAATAACTCATTCTCTTGTCATATTTTTGTGTTATATTTATGTGCATATCAAGCCATATTCGTACTGACTGAAAATACTCACTAAAAACATGTTATCACTGTCCTCAAATCACCTTCTTTGTATTTGAAACAACTATCTTTCCATGTG